ACAAATCATTTTTAAGTTTAATAGGGCACACATCGGCCATGTCCTCGACCACGGCCAAAACCGGGTGAGTTCATGCGGCCTCGTCCTCGCTTGTGCCATGATCTCGTCCTTGACCCTTACCACGGTTGTTACCTGGTTGGTATGGACGAGATTACCATGTAGAAACTGATTTGGTCCTCTAATGGTCGAGTAAGACGGCTTGTTCGTGCCGCCTCGGCCACGACCAGTGCCTTGGCCTCTCCCACGGCCGTAGCTGGAACCTCGACCACGGTTATTGTGGTTTCCAGACCTACGGTCGTATGAGTTGTTGTCACGACCATTACACCCATGGTCTCCACCACAGCCCTTGCCGTGTGGTCTCCTATCATTATGGGCGAAATTATTTTCTTTGGGAACATGTTCAACCTTATTTGATTCCGGTACTTGCTGCTGATCCTGCAGGTCTCAACTCAATGTTCCTTGAGGTCTTAACTCACTGTTTTCATTAGTAAATCTTTATTAGCCTCAGCCAATAATAAACAGGAGATTAAATCAGTATAAGTGGTGATAAGTCTTTCTCTACTTATTTGGTCGGCTGATTGGTCGAGTAAGACAGCTTAGAGATGCTGCCTCGACCACGGCTGTAGCCGCGTCTCGCCTACGGCCATGACTAGGACCACGACCACGGTTATTGTGGTTCCCTTGTCCACGGTCGTACGAGCTATAATTTCCAAGACCACCACGTCCTTTCCATCCACAGACCTCTAGTCTTGTAGCCTTTGGTAGTAACACCGTTTTATGGTGATCTCTGCTGTAAAGCAGTCCAAAGCTCTAGTGGATCTACCATACTGATTCTTTTCAGTCTCATTGTTATCTTTGGTAATCATATTACCAAACCCCTTAGACCTCAAAGTGATCTTAACATCAAGAGCCCACTGCAGGTTATTATCTCAAGAGATTGAGAGCAGGTGTAGTCAAGGTTTGCAAGTTTCAACATCTGAATCACATAACCACACAATTAGGGTTTTACACACATTGTGATTCTCTTGACTACATTACAACCACAAACCAAACCATACTTGTAACTACAATGACCATTGTGAAGACAAACAAAACACACCATTATGGTCACTCAAAACTCATATGGTTCAGCATTGGTCGGAATGGGTGAGAATGACATAATTAAATCTACATGCTGGTCGGTTTTATTAAAACAAGATAAATGCAGTAAAATTCATTCGACCATGCAATGCAATTCTATCAATCTTAATTCAATTCTGATCAGTTTTTAAATCACAAAACGAACTAGGGTTTCAAGGCCCTTATGATCGGTTTTAAACATCCATAATAAAACTCATCTAACCTTATCAATTCTTAAAATCAATTTCAAAACTTTTCATCAATTCTCCCCCTGATTTTATTAATTGTGGTAGTTAGGGTTTCAAGGCCCTTTAGATATCCAATTTCAATCTTAAAACCTCAGATCATCAATCATTCAATCAAACAATCAAACAAACAAACCGGTTTAAAGATTAGGGTTTAGGGTTCAACCAAATTTTAAATCCTATCATCCGGTTCTAAGTTCTCAAACAATCAACCAATCTATCAGATATCCTATCATAGCTCTATTGATTCCATACCTATTGGTTTCTATCAATTAGGGTTTATAGATATACCATTGTTTGAAGATTATTAAACCGGACCACCTTTAGAGAGAGAGAGAGAGAGGAGTTGCCGCCTGTTAGGGTTTCTCGATCAAGGCGGCTGGTGGTTGCTTCTCCACGTGCTAGGGCTTCTCTCAGCTCATGAAACATTACACAAAAAGTATTAGATAACATGAACATCATAAGTTAATAAGATAATATGGTTTAACATAGATAGAGAGAGAGAGAAGGAGCCGTGGTAGGGTTTATGGTTCTTTAGACTTGTGACGGCTTCTAGCTTATGTTATAACTTTCACCTACAAAAAGGAAAGATAGATAGGGTTTTCTTAGCCAAAAGGAAAGTAAAAATCGAGCAAAAGGAAAGTGTAAGGAGGCTGCTCGGATAAAAGGAAAATTGCTAGGGTTTTCCGGATGGGAAAAAGGAAATTTGGCCCGTCGGATTGTTTTGGTGACTGAGGGCTCGTCCGATGTCGGATTGACACGCTGTTTGAACTGATTGATTCTTCTCTTCAAGAGCTTCAATTTCATATGTAGATCGTCGTCTGGTTCCACATGGTTTGAGAGATACATCGATTTGAAGTTGAGCCAGAATTAGGGTTTCTCGGGTAGGAGAAAAGGAAATTCATCCGCCATCTTGTTTCTGAGCTAGAGGAGGCGTCTGGTATCGGATTGAGACGTTCTTTGGACTGGTAGCTTCTTCTCGTCGAGAGCTTGAATTTGATATGTGACTCGTCGTCTGGGTACACACGGTTTGGGAGATACGTCGCTTTGAAGATGGCGCCTGGAACTAGGGTTTTGCTGCTGCCGCCTAGAGAGAGAGAGATACGATTTTGGTGGTTGGCTTCTTAGCTCTGGTGAGACTCGTGCTGATAACGTGTTGTATAGAAAGAGGAGAATGAGAGAAGTAATGGGGGAATTCTCTGTATATTATTACTGAATGAATATAGGTTCCTTTATATAAGAATTACAAGAAGAAATAAATGGAAAACATCCAATTCCTAAAGTAACAAGGAATTGGAAATCTACTAATACATATGGCCGCCTATGTCTAAATCATTGGGCCTCTATCTTCTTGGTCTTGAGTACTATAGGCACGTGGACCTTATGGTCTTGGTTATGGCCCATCCACTTAATACTTCATAACAAGTTGGGAAAAAAAATAATCATTTTCCCTCAACATAATATCAATGTTTATATGGTGGAATCGCTGGTTATACTATGATGTCACATATTCTATAGAACATGTAAATATAATACGTCACTTTTACATAGTGTTCCTTTTATGGTGTCGTCACTCACATCATCAGAAAGATTATCAATATTTTCATGTTGTGTTTAAAATGATATTTTAACATCTATCATTTTAGTATTTTACAAGATTTTAAGTAAATATTGTTATTTATTGATATTTTTTTTAAAAATAAACTATTATTTAGAAAGATTATCAATATTATCAAATGTTACATAATCTAATGATAATATCTTTAAATATCTTTATCTTTCTATTTGAAATTCAAATGAAAGAAATTCAACAAAATCTTATTAGCATCTTTTTTAAACTGTAGAAAACATTGTATTTTCGTAAATTATTAAATTTAAATTCTAATTATCATAAAATATCATTAAAAATTATTATTTTATTTATAAATGAAAAATTAAAATTATCTTAAAAAAATTTAATTATATTTTAATGAGAATGATAATATAAATTGATGGAATTTCGAAAATACTTATTTACAAAGTTTAAATATATTATGTTAGAAACAAATATTGAAATTCTTTTTCAAATATACAAAATAATACATATATATATACTATTTAAACAAAGTCATGAATTATTTCATGTATAATTTTTATTTGGACCATTATTTAAACAAATTGTCAAATTTCACATAATTTAATTATAATATCACCCTATATCTTTATCTTTTATTTGAATACAAATTTTTTCTTTAAGAAATTTAAATTTATCTAGATAGCACTATATATTCCTAAAACTTAANATATATATATACTATTTAAACAAAGTCATGAATTATTTCATGTATAATTTTTATTTGGACCATTATTTAAACAAATTGTCAAATTTCACATAATTTAATTATAATATCACCCTATATCTTTATCTTTTATTTGAATACAAATTTTTTCTTTAAGAAATTTAAATTTATCTAGATAGCACTATATATTCCTAAAACTTAAATAAAAAACTATATACTAGAGTTTACCCACACAGAATTTTCTTTTTGTAGGAAGATGAATTTAATTTAAAAACTTACAAAATAAAACTTAGGTCCAACAAAATGTTTATACTTTAAAAAGATAGATGTGCTGATTACAAATAGTTAAACTTGAGAAATGAAGTTGTTATATAATATAGTATATATTGTAACCTGTAAGCTTGTATTTTATCTTTCTTATATTTTCTCTAGTTTTATTTAATTTTTTTGTCGACTTACTTTTGTTTTTCATTTTAACACGATAAATAAATTTGTTTGATGTATAGTACCTATAGCCTAGTCTTTCTTTATCCTTTTGCTTAATTAATAATTGACTATTTTTGAGTAATCAATGTACTAATTACAAATAGTTGGGAAATAAAATACTCATTTTCGTCAACATAATATCAATGTTTATATGGTGTAATCTCTGTTTATACTATGATGTCACATATCCTATAGAACATGTACGTCCCTTTGATATAGTGTTGGTTTTATGGTGTCGTCACTCACATCATCAGAAGTGGATTTATGCTTTTGAAAGACTAAACTAGATTATACTAATTGTTGGATATATATTTTTCATGAAGGGGCAATTAGCCAATAACAAAAATCATATTCAATGGTGATAATATACCTTTATCTTTTCTCAAAACCCTTATAAATAGCAACCAAACTATCCTCGATTCTATCACATTACAAACAAACTAGCAAGAAACACACAAAAGCACTTGCGAAAGAACCCTCTCGACCAAAATGTCTGCTGAGATGCTCCAGTTCCCCCCCACCACCATNATTAGCCAATAACAAAAATCATATTCAATGGTGATAATATACCTTTATCTTTTCTCAAAACCCTTATAAATAGCAACCAAACTATCCTCGATTCTATCACATTACAAACAAACTAGCAAGAAACACACAAAAGCACTTGCGAAAGAACCCTCTCGACCAAAATGTCTGCTGAGATGCTCCAGTTCCCCCCCACCACCATTGTGAAAGCTTCATACTATCCTGGGTCCAGAAAACAAATTCGAAGTCAAAACCGTGGACCCAACTTTCACTCACATTTTCTGGGCCTTTTCTCAAATCGACTCTAGCAGCCACGAAGTGGATATCTCCACCATGAACCTACCCCATGACAAGAACACTCGAAAACCGGAAAGCGTTCATTGAGTCTTCCATCGATGTCGCTAGAACGTACGGTTTCCACGGGCTCGATCTTGCTTGGGAATATCCTAGCAATAAAGTGGAGGTGGGCAACTTCCGGCATCTTATTGAAGAATGGCGTGTAGCGGTTCAGAAAGATTCGGTCAAAACCGGTAAACTTCCTTTGCTGTTAACTGCTGCGGTTCGCTACTCCCCCGATGTCAACTCCTCCTTGCAGTACCCGGTTGATGCCATTGCCAAGAATTTGGATTTTGTTAACATAATGTCTTATGACTTTTACGGACCGGATTGGTCTGACGTGACCCGACCACCTGCTGCTCTCTATCCTTCAGACCCGGAAGGTATAAACCATCACGACATAAATAAATTTATTTTTCCCTTCAATACTTGCATCACTCATTTACATGATTAAAAAAAAAAAAACATGAAAGATCACATAATGGAGAAATGTATATATTTTTTTGATAGAGTTAATTATTTTATTATATATATATATATATATATTTATATATATTATCATGATTCAGAAACAAGATTATGGAATTGAATAATACAAAACACTCGCGCGGGGTGAATTGAACTAAAGGAATTTTCCCTTAAATATAATATAGGTATTAACGGTGACTCCGGGCTGCGTAAGTGGTTTGACGCTAACCTTAAGCCTGATCAGGCTGTCTTAGGGTTCTCATACTGTGGTTGGGCCTGGAAACTCAAAGACCCCAAGGATAATGGCTATGATGCACCCACCGATGGAGCGGCGATAACACCCGACGGTTCTGTGACCTATGATGAGATAAATAAATATATTGTGGATAGCGGAGCAGCGACATATCATGATCCGGCGGTGGTCGGATTTTATTGCCACGACAGAACCACGTGGATCGGGTATGATGATAATCAGAGTATTGTGTCCAAAGTGAAGTATGCTAAGCAAAATGGTCTGCTTGGTTACTTCTCGTGGCATCTTGGAGCTGACAAAGACGGCGGTCTCTCTCGTGCAGGTTCGTCTTTTACTCTTGTCTTTTAAATATTCTCTTATTGTTTCATATTTGTGGTTGAATTTTAATATGTTAACCTGTGGAAAATATTAGTATACAGTAAACTTGTGAAGATTGGTCCTGATATTTAAGAAAGTTTGCGCAGATTTAATATTTTCTCTCATTTCTATTTGTATCTTTTTCTTATATGAAAAACAATGAGTTTTATTTACTTTGGTGTTTTTTTCAGCGTCGCTTGCATGGGACACTACAGACATAACCACCGGAAAATAATAATCCAAGACGAGTTTCCAACAACGACAAGTGAGAAGTTCGCTATATCTTATTGTGAGAACTATAAAGACGTTTGCTTATTTCTTGTAACAAAAATAAACATGTTTGTTTTATATTTTCCCTTGTTTTGTCAAGGACATTTGCTTGTTTCTTTGTACCAAAAAAAAAAAAAAAAACTGTGTGCTTATATATTCTTGTAAAACATATATAAATGAAGACGTTTGCTTATATTATAATAGCACCTATAACAAATGCAGGTATATAAATATATAGCTGTGCATATATATATATATATATTAACTGAAAATAGAAAATGTGTCATATTTTACTTCCACATATTAAAAACAAAAAGTATGTATATCAAAAGATATTTTTATGAAACTAAATTTTAACGCAAGAAAGATTTATATAATGTACAATATATACATGTAAACTATTAGTAGAAGTAGTTTAATTATGTTTTTAGCTATTTTCGTTAGAGGGCCTAAAAGACATTGTACTTGATGCAAAATACTTTACACAATGAAAATGTTGGAACGTGTAAGGACGTAGACTCTACGTGTGTAAGAACCATCTTTTATTTGCTTTCTGTTCATAAGCTAAGAATTAAAATTATTCCCCAAGCCGTCAAAGCGAAATACAATATAACAAAACATGAATACTATACGAGATCAATTTTAATAAATGTTTTATTAATCAGTTGTTTTTGGCTAAAACTTTCATTAACTTATATATTGAATTATATAAGCATTCGGGGGGGGGGGGGAGGAGCTAGTGATTTCATTTTTTTCCACAAATGTAATACTACTTTTCAAAACTACTCTTAGAATATTTATTTTCATAATTAATTTACGGTTGTGATGAAAAAGGACTAAACTAAACTTCTTAAATGTTTAAAAACAATTTATAAAATATTTATAAAGTTAATAAACTCAATCTAATCCCTAAATAATAAATCTGAAACAATAATCACGAAATTCTAAAATCTAATATTAAAAATATTTTGATTGAATTTCTTTCTGAAAAGTGGTAACTAACTTATAGTATTTCAAGCATGCAATTTCTCAGACATTTTTGTGTACCACTCAAAGTGATTAATTACTTGTGTTGGTGTGTTTCCTGTAACTCTTTGATCATCTATTAAAATAGTTAGATGATTAATATTACTTAACCATACATATTATTTCTATTATTCCTTGAACTATATACAAATAAAAAAACTTAGAAGACTTATATAAAGGTAATAGCACAACCGGTTTTTTATTTATTTAAATGTTTTATTACGGAAGCTAATGTGTTTTAGTCCATTCAAATTTTAATACTGTGCCAGAGTGAGTTATAAACTAGAGGTATAAATGATAACATGCAGAACAACTAGGTTGCACCTAGTAGTAACAAAATATATAGATTAAAGATTTTTTTACTATTAACTGCGATGCGGTTAGTAAATATTTGGACCATCAGAAAATGAACAAACCGCATATAAGGTATATGTAGGGGAATAATAATATGTGAGAAAACTGCGGAACAACTGTGATTCTAATAATAATAAAAACGTATAAATATATAGGTAAAAGTAGAAATTTTTGTTAATATTCACAACAATGTAGTGCGGTTGGTCACTATTCAAAGCCACAATCAACGTCAATTTGGAAAGTCGATTTTTGTTAGTTAGTAACAAAGGCTGTCCCATCTTATCTTAATATATACAAATTAGTATAACCTAGTCTTTTTATATTAAGGTTTATGTATATGCATTACTGCATATAATTAATCAGGTCTCTAGAGGATGCCAAAAAAAAAAAACAGGTCACTGGATTGGAACTTTTTAAATTAATTATTAAATATGACCATTCTCTGTACTCTTAATATGTTTAGTTATTGAAATGTCAAATAGCTAACCCATTGATAGATAATGATATAAGATATAGTTTACTAAAACCTAGTCTTTTTTTTTGTTCCTCTCAACTGTAGACTATTTCAATTTTGCCAATTGTAAATTTCAATTTGAAAATAACAAATAATTTTTTTAGCTATATCTTATTTTGAGAAGTATAAAGACGGTTACTTATTTCTTGTAACAAAAATAAACATGTTTGTTTTATCTTTTTCCCTTGTTTTGTCAAGGACATTTGCTTGTTTCTTTGTACCAAAAATAAAACTGTGTGCTTATATATTCTTGTAAAACATATATAAATGAAGAAGTTTGCTTATATTGTAATAGCACCTATAACAAATACAGGTATATAAATATATAGCNATCTTTTTCCCTTGTTTTGTCAAGGACATTTGCTTGTTTCTTTGTACCAAAAATAAAACTGTGTGCTTATATATTCTTGTAAAACATATATAAATGAAGAAGTTTGCTTATATTGTAATAGCACCTATAACAAATACAGGTATATAAATATATAGCTGTACATATATATATATATATATATATATATATATATATATATTAATTGACAATAGAAAATGTGTCATATCTTACTTCAACATATTAAAAACAAAAAGTATGTATATCAAGAGATATTTTTATAAAAATAAATTTTAATGAAAGAAAGATTTATATAATGTACAATATATACATGTAAAATATTAGTAGAAATAGTTTACTTATGTTTTTAGCTATTTTCGTTAGAGGGCCTAAAATACATTGTACTTGATGCAAAATACTTTACACAATGAAAGTGTTGGAATGTGTAAGGACATAGACTCTACTTGTGTAAGAACCATCTTTTATTTGCTTTCTGTTCAAAACGAAAAATTATAACTATTATCCAAGCCATCAAAGCGAAATACAATATAACAAAACATGAATACTATACGAGATTAATTTTAATAAATGTTTTATAAATCAGTTGTTTTTGGCTAAAACTTTCATTAACTTATATATTATGTATATAAGCATTCGGGGGGGGGGGAGTGATTTCATTTTTTCCAAAAATGTAATACTATATTTTTCAAATGTACTCTTAGAATAATTATTTTCATAATTACTTTACAGTTGTGATGAAAAAGGATTAAACTAAACTTCTTAAATGTTTAAAAGCAATTTGCAAAATATTATAAAGTTACTAAACTCAATCTAATCCCTAAATAATAAATCCGAAACAATAATCATGAAATTCTAAAATCTAATATTAAAAATATTTTGATTGAATTTCTTTCTGAAAAGTGGTAACTAACTTATAGTATTTCAAGCATGCAATTTCTCAGACATTTTTGTGTACCACTCAAAGTGATTAATTACTTGTGTTGGTGTGTTTCCTGTAACTCTTTGATCATCTATTAAAATAGTTAGATGATTAATATTAGTTAACCATACATATTATTTCTATTATTCCTTGAACTATATACAAATAAAAAAACTTAGAAGACTTATATAAAGGTAATAGCACAACCGGTTTTTTATTTATTTAAATGTTTTATTACGGAAGCTAATGTGTTTTAGTCCATTCAAATTTTAATACTGTGCCAGAGTGAGTTATAAACTAGAGGTATAAATGATAACATGCAGGACAACTAGGTTGCACCTAGTAGTAACAAAATATATATATATTAAAGATTTTTTTACTATTAACTGTGATGCGGTTAGTAAATATTTGGACCATCAGAAAATGAACAAACCGCATATGAGGTATATGTAGGGGAATAATAATATGTGAGAAAACTGCGGAACAACTGTGATTCTAATAATAATAAAAACGTATAAATATATATGTAAAAGTAGAAATTTTTGTTAATATTCACAACAATGTAGTGCGGTTGGTCACTATTCAAAGCCATAATCAACGTCAATTTGGAAAATCGATTTTTGTTAGTTATTAACAAAGGCTGTCCCATCTTATATTAATATATACAAATTAGTATAACCTAGTCTTTTTATAATAAGGTTTATGTATATGCATTACTGCATATAATTAATTAGGTCTCTAGAGGATGCCAAAAAAAAAAAAAAAGGTCACTGGATTGGAACTTTTTAAATTGATTATTAAATATGACCATTCTCTGTACTTTTAATATGTTTAGTTATTGAAATGTCAAATAGCTAAGCCATTGATAAATAATGATATAAGATATAGTTTACTAAAACCTAGTCTTTTTTTTGTTCCTCTCAACCGTAGACTATTTCAATTTTGTCAATTGTAAATTTCAATTTGAAAATAACAAATAAATTTTTTAGCTATATCTTATTTTGAGAAGTATAAAGACGGTTACTTATTTCTTGTAACAAAAATAAACATGTTTGTTTTATCTTTTCCATTGTTTTGTCAAGGACATTTGCTTGTTTCTTTGTACCAAAAATAAAACTGTGTGCTTATATATTCTTGTAAAACATATATAAATGAAGAAATTTGCTTATATTGTAATAGCACCTATAACAAATACAGGTATATAAATATATAGCTGTACATATATATATATATATATATATATATTAACTGACAATAGAAAATGTGTCATATCTTACTTCAACATATTAAAAACAAAAAGTATGTATATCAAGAGATATTTTTATAAAAATAAATTTTAATGAAAGAAAGATTTATATAATGTACAATATATACTTGTAAACTATTAGTAGAAATAGTTTACTTATGTTTTTAGCTATTTTCGTTAGAGGGCCTAAAAGACATTGTACTTGATGCAAAATACTTTACACAATGAAAGTGTTGGAATGTGTAAGGACGTAGACTCTACGTGTGTAAGAACCATCTTTTATTTGCTTTCTGTTCATAACCTAAAAATTATAACTATTATCCAAGCCATCAAAGCGAAATACAATATAACAAAACATGAATACTATACGTGATTAATTTTAATAAATGTTTTATAAATCAGTTGTTTTTGGCTAAAATTTTCATTAACTTATATATTAAAGTATATAAGCATTCGGGGGGGGGGGGGAGAGTGATTTCAATTTTTCCACAAATGTAATACTATATTTTTAAAATGTACTCTTAGAATAATTATTTTCATAATTACTTTACAGTTGT